TCCCCTCTTCAGCCAACAAACCAATGGCCATTTGCGAGTGTATGGTAGCCGGGAAAATTGCAAAAAATACTAGGTGCAGGGCTCTCCTAATACCGACATTGTGACTAAATCCGAAGACGTAGTGAACCTTCTGAAGCATTCGAAGAGGCCGACCAGCTGGGCGCTGCAGACTTGTGTGTACCTTGGGAAATTCACCCTCTGCCTTTTTAGCCTCCTTCCAACTCCTTCCCGAAGGTCGTGGTGAAATGTCAGAAAAGTCTTGACAGAGCGTGATAGCTGAATGGTAGCTTAGCCAACCTTTCTTGCACCGTCCAGAGCCCTAGGAAGTCCTCTTGGCTATTCTGCCGAAATCTCGATCTTGGTGCCCACAAACACACCAAAGTGGAGGAGGACTATTCTCAATACCTGTCAGTGGTGCCCCCTACGAACCTCCAGCTCTCACTGTAGAGTCTGCAAAGCCGAGATTGAGTAACAAAGTCCTCACTTCGACGAGGATTTCCAATCGCTCTCGCGGTCTGTATCCTCTTCATCTCTCAACACATCCCCTATCACCATTATCATGAAGCTAACCATGATCGGATCGAATGGTAGGGTCAGAGCCCTACTCATCACCCACCCTTGATCATGGAGGAGAAGACATCCGATGAGTTTCCGGAGCGTACCCAGCACCCGATACGGAGATGGCGGATTGGATCAAGCCGACCTCAACTGTTACAAAGAAGATAGATATAGATGAATATGCGCACTTCATGTGGTCCCGGTGTCTAGGCCTCGCCTGGCTGGAGCTGCAGGTTTTCTGAGACTTTTTCCCGCGCACGCAGTTTCCATTGCTACCATTTTATTTTTAATTTTTTTGGGGAAGAAGGTTCCGTAGAAAAGTGGTTGAGTTCCATGGGTAAATACTGAGCTGAATGGCTATTCATCAAGGGGAATATATCAATGATCTTTCAAGTAACAAAAGAGGATAGGAGCACTGTACAAGGTGTGGCCTGGGTCAGAGAGGAGCCCAATATGCTAGATAGTCATAGACTCATGTAGTACAATAAAAACACACACACACACTCCAAAGTGGAAAACCCCTCGAAAATGTCAGTCCTAGCATGGTCTTCAGAGACCTCATCCCCCTCGCTCCATATCTCAGCTGCCTATCCTTCTTCAAGATTTACACCCCCATTAGAGCAATAGCTCCACATAATCTAAGACCCGAGATTTGTATCCTAAGACTTATTTTCCTCCTTGCAGGTATACGTAGCGTCGTGATTTTGTCATAGGTGACGGCCGGTAAAGAATGAGGGAAGTTTCTGTTTGCGATAGGAGTGACGCCTTTATCAGTCGTTGAGGCGAGGTGATGTGTTGTTAGAAGGAAGTTGAGGATCCAGAGGAGAGTGTCAAGTGCTGCATGAATGGGAAGTCGTTAAACGGAGGTACGTTTGTGTTTGCTTTCGACTTCGAGTCAGGTGCGATTCTTCTTGGCTTTTCCACAGATGTAGAGCATACTGAGCAATCACATCGACACCACTAGAAGGTGAAGAATTCGCCCTTTCCGTCGTATCAAGGCTCTGCCTGGCTGGGGCAACAGGCTTTTTTAGACTTTTCCGGCGTAGGCAGTTTCCATTGCTATCTATTTTGTTTACCATTTTTTGGGTGGAAGGTTCCATGGGTAAATACTGAGCTGGATGGCTTTTCATCACGGGCAACAGAACAGAATAGGAGCACTGTGTTACAGGCTAGCGCCTTGTTTAGTTATAATCGGAGTTTATCCGGTTCATTTATCGAGAAGTCTTAAAGTACATGGCTTGGCTGGATTAAGGAGTTGTGTAAAGGATAACTCCTGCATAAATCCAGACGCGACGCGCGATATCGAGTAGATAAGCATGTAGTCTTCGTAGTACTTCTTTCTTTACACAGAGGATAACCTAATTTACGACACACTTTCATGCGAATAGCTAATGTGATTAGTCCCTTCACACACTGTACAAGATGTGGCCTGGGTCAGAGAGGAGCCCAATTTGATAGATAGTCAGAGACTCAAGTAGCACAGTAAACAAAAACTAACTCATTCCATAATTTCCAGCAATCACCCAAAATACGGCGTACATCGTGATAGTTTCAGCACTGTGTCGGTAGCTCATATCAAAGCACATGGTTAAGGTCTAGATAATCTCCGCAAATAAATTACTCGCACATCTACGTTGAAAGAATGCCGAATCATTCACGAATATATATCTAACTATCATAACCAACTGGCAGTATATTGACTCTTGTTAGAATTAGGTGCACAATTCTGAATTAAATTTCATGGATAGGTTAGGGTACTAAAAAAACCCCAGCCATTCTTCCAAGTAGAATTAATGAAACTCTAGTCAGCATTCATTAATTTATTCTCGTTGACACCCTGTTGTGAAACAAATGAACAGAACTGTGAAGACGATCAGCCGCTTTATTGACTGAAAAAGCTGTCAAGAAAACAAATCCCGATGCCCTGCCGATCTGAAACGACCCAGCTTAATGCAGAAGACTTTCTTTTAACCGTTATTTCAGAAGCTTTCCGTAAAATCAGTGAACCCCCCATCCGACGAACGCAAGAAAGGGTCAGTGTAAAGAGAAGATGCGCCTCCGTGCTCGGCGCTTGTCGTCGAAGTGATAAAATTGCCGGCCCCCATGATCGTGTTTCTATCGGGTCTTGTACCAATTTAATGACGAGAGTGAGTGTGTGTTTATCATACTACTTGAATCTCTGACTATCTAGCATGTTGGTCTCCTCTCTGACTCAGGCCACACCTCGTACAGTGCTCCTATCCTCTTTTGTTACTTGAAAGATCATTGATATATTCCCCTTGATGAATAGCCATTCAGCTCAGTATTTACCCATGGAACTCAACCACTTTTCCACGGAACCTTCTTCCCCAAAAAAAATAAAAAATAAAATGGTAGCGATGGAAACTGCGTACGTGGGAAAAAGTCTCAAGTGACCTGCAGCCCCGATCAGGTAAGGCTTTGACATTTGAGTCACGCGAGCTTTATGTATCTATCTACGTTTCCTCTCCTTGTTATGTTATAGGTCAACTTGGTCCAGTCCACCATCATCGTATCGCTGCATCGGGTGATGGCTACTCTCTGGAAACACATCGGATGGCTTTTACTCCACAATCAAGGCTGGGTGATTTATAGGGCTTGGACCCTACCATCTGATCTGATCGTGGCTAGCTTCATGATAATGGTCATAGGAGGATGTATTGAGAGATAGAGGATACTGATGGCGAGAGCGATTGGGAATCGTCATCGGAGTGAGTACAAAGGCGTTACTTAAAGTCACTTCTTCAGACCCTATAGTGAGAACTGGAGTTTCGTAGGGGATACCACTGACGGGTATCGAGAATAGTCCTCATAGAAATCATAGATATACCCGCAAATACCTTAATGCCAGGCTAATTCGACTCCTCATCGATCGTTACCCTCAGTCAAAATCTTGGGATGCGAACACGATCGGATAGACTCAGGAGTGAGGTAATCTATTGGAAATAGCAGATGGTCTGAATCACGAATGCCGGGATCCACTGTCGGCAAAATAAATTGATATCTAGAACACAAATTAACGACAATAATCTTCAAACTTTGATCCACGCTCACGCTTGTTCTACCAAGACACCTCGCTTTGCATAATTTTTGAGTAACGAATCGAGTTCTTATGTTAGTAATTGCAGCAATTTATGACCATTAAATAAGAGCATTGCATTAAATTTAGCTGTGGGGGTGTGAGAGACAGGGCGACAAACCGAGGCCAGTTCACAATCCCTCTTTTGAGAAATTGTGGTCACGAGTCCTAACTCAAACTCCTCACCTCCTGCTACGATAAAAGACATTGGAACTTTAGACTGTAGCCTTTTATATTGGCATGAATCAACTCCGACTGTAATCCAACCCGTTGAGCCCATCAGCATCAAAGCGTCTACAAATTGCATCGATTCTAACAACAAATTGAAACCGCAAGCAGCATAATTCTGATGCTAGTCGATGCGAACGCTATGACAGGGTAACTTTGATATGAATGATCCTGCTCATCATATCAAGCTGGATTGGTTCAGCCGAGGACTCTCTGCGGTGGGCTGGGGGGGGGGGGGGTGCGCAAGGGCAGAAAGAATAAGATAAGATGAGACAACGTTCTCGGGCCTCGTCTGCTGCCTTGGGGTGCAAGACAACGGATCTCGTGTTGACGAGGCATACTGTTGGAAGAGTGTGTAGGCTCGGGAGGTAGGCATGGTAAAATTTGAGGAATTTCCCCATCTTTCTGCTGTCCGCTTGTGAGGCCTACCGTTTGAGCAATGCGAATGGTTAGGTGTTTCTTGCAAGAAAAATCTGGTAACACATGCCTTGAGTAGGTACCCTGTTGCGCAAGGAAGGATCCCAAACAACATTAACAGTAGCAGCAATATCAACAGCCATGCAGAATACTATCTTCCCCCAGCTTCAATGGCGTAGAATTTCCAGTGTTCTCGTCCATACAAGGACAAACTCGTAGTCATCTTTACCAGGACTTAATTTGAACCCAGATTCATCTTGTTCCGCAAACCCTATGCTCGGCAGGCAAGCACGACCCGTATCCCAGCGAACCTTTTCATTTTGCAAATGGACGAAGACCACTCGTTCAATCTATCTTTCTTATACTTTCTCCCACTTCATTCCCGTGCCACAATTCGATCAGCCCTCACGTCGCCCATGAGTTTACTGTAGCCATTCTTTCTTGCTTCTCACTTCTTCGGATTCATACTTTCAATTACGAGGATTACGATCGCACATTTATCAATATATCTGCGTCTCCATATTCCGAACTTTTATCCTTTCAGTCCTCGCCTGCTACTTAAAAGCAAACAAAATTATATACCAATGAGAACTTATTAATCCGAAAAGCTACTCTGGGGAGCTTAAGCCTATCTGCTCACGTTGTCGCCGTCTTGCTACACTTATCTAATTTTTATTCATTTTCTGCACCTCATATAATCATGATACAACCCGTAGTCTCGACTGATGGTATGCTTGGATTCCAAAGGTTAAAATGCGCAACTAATGAATCAATCTACAGTCTCTAACAGCCAAAATATTCAAATTTTTAATACTAAATCACAGGTAACAGCACAACAAACACAGCTGATATCCGATAACCCTATCTTCGATCACCAAACAGATTACGCACACGAGCTAGCCACTGAGCATGCAAATGAAGCCCAAAAAAGTACACAATATCCCAGAGATTGGTCAAATGGGGATGCACGGCTCTCAATATCATGCAACGAAAAAGAAGAAAATTCGAACCAGACTTCAAGACAAGTAGGTATTCGAGATGCCCAGAATTCCGGAGAAGATCCAGCAGCTACTGGCGAGGAAGACGATGAGACTGAAGAAGACTTACTGGACAAAATATCGAGTTCACCATCAATTGAAGATGGTCAGTATACTTCCATTTATAAATTCGACTTATTGCTTAAAAATATTACTGTACCTCTGCGTCTCCATTTCCGAGTCTCACAAGTGTTGGACTCTAAAATTAGCTCTGCTAATACCAGTTGAACTTAATTGTCTTCAAACATTCCTAGCTTCTCGCAATCGAAATGCGGAAAGAAAGTGTATCAGGACTATAGACATAGTAAATCCAAAGACATAAGAAGAATGATCATTTATATCGAAGCTCTTGCGCAAAGCTCATACTCTCAAGTACCAGCACGAAACTCGTGTTATAGCAAGCTTTAGAAAGAATTTGGCAAGGGAAATGGTTCATTTGATTTGCGCCTAAATATTCAAGCTGATTTCCAAGCAAGGCTCACTACATGAAAAGCCTTCAGTCTTTCTTTAGAGGATTTGACTCACGGTTTACCAGATAATAGCAATGCTCCCCTAAAAAGCACTTTTCTCGATATACACGACTCTGTCAACCTAGAAAGCTCTGGGAAAGTGATTGAATTGTGTTAAAAATTAATCAGATTATATTAGCCCCGAAATGAACGAGAAAGCTCACAGTACCTAGAAGATATAGATTTTGACTTCGTTTACGCTCTCCACAATTTCATTGCTACCATTGAGGGACAAGCAAATGTTACAAAGGGCGACTCTATGGTTTTACTTGACGACAGTAATAGCTACTGGTGGCTTGTTCGTGTTGTAAAAGATAGTAGTATTGGTATTAGCACCACCACTCTAAATGTGAGAAGTTATTAATGTAATTGGAAGGATACCTGCCCGCAGAACACATAGAGACACCTACTGAACGATTGGCACGCCTCAACAAGCACCGAAATGGGGATGTATGCAGAAATCAAAATATTGTATCCGTTGCTTGGCTAAATTAATCTAGTTGACATCTACCATGTTGACAGACCAGGCAGAAAAGCCAAAAAAACCACTCAAGATGGCTTTCCGGAAGAGAAGTGCTAGAACTGTTACGTTCGCGGACCCAACTTACGTTGAAGCTTCGGAAATAGAGTACTCTACTGAGGATGAAGGAGACCCAGAGTTCTACAGCCATTTGATGAACCAAGGTGTATCTACAGAATATCGCAGCAATACTGATGATGATGATATTGACGGAAGTTCCGATCAAGAATTGCACGGGAACCAGTGGGTGCCCAACGAGAACGACCTTGTTTCTACAGAGACAGACGTAAACTTTGCAACAGAAGATTCGGATAATTTGAAAGCAAATGGCGAACTTCTTTACGGCCGAAATGAGAGTAAAATTCGAAATGGTGTCCTAAGAAATACAGACTCCTTCTTTCAGGATGATTCTGTTGAGACGCGAAAGATTACACTAACCCCGAACCTACTCCGAGACAACTCTAGTCCCCCCGCCACCGTCGTACCAAACGAGCCAAAAGAAACGAGGCGACCGAGCCTTGAAAAACCAGAAAAAAATTCTCCCGATAGAACAAGAGATAAGAAAGAGCGAAAAGATAAAAGAGAAAAAGATAAAAAGACAGGCAAGCTCAGTGGTCTATTTAAGCGCAAAGATAAAAAAAATAAGTCAATTGATGAAGAAATCGAAGAGCTGTCAAGTAATAAACATACTGATTCCTCGCGGAATTCTCCTGCTCCTAGTAAAGATTCAGATGAGATGGCAAGCATAGAGGAACAGGCAAATGTAATACTGCCAGACACGCAAAAATTGCCTAACAAACTGCAAAAACAACCAATGAGTAAAAGATCACTAAGTCAGGGTATAGAGACAAAGAGTCCCGAGTCGGCTTCAAACTCCCCATCAGAGACAGTTCAGCCCCTTTCTACGAGTCTCTCACTTCGACTTGTGCAATCCGACTCCTCTACCAATGTCTTAAATACTCAGGCACAACTTGTTTCGCCGGAAAGGTCTATTACTCCCACCCTCAAAGACCGTAAGCTCGACAACTCTGCCAGGCCTTTAGGGCAAACCCAGAGTCTCGAGAGCTCTACAAAAGAGTTTACTAGTGGTGCTGAGCCACGGAAAAAATCTCCTGAAATAGATTCTACTACAAATTCACCCGTAGATACCCTTAAGTCGAATTGCCATCAAACTTCTCGTCCGCAAGCTTCCTCGAATGCTAAAGAAGTGCACAGGAACGGTAGCCTTTCTCAAGTGAAAACACCTGATACTACAAGGACCAAGTTATCGCATCAGATTCTGGCGAAAGATAACTCAAGCCAAAGCGAACCTTCCTCGCCGCTATCATCATCATCTGAATCAATATACAGGGATGAGTCTCCCCAGAAGAAGGATAGTAGACGTCAAATCACAACTTTGACTTCAAAGGCTTGGAGTGATGCCCATCTAAAGACCTTTTTTGATGATAATACCGACATAAAGGACCTACTGATTGTTGTCTACGATAAATCTGGGGTTGTGCCAGCAGGTCCCGAGCACCCTATTGTAGGAAACTTGTTCAAGGAAGAAAACTCCAAGCTGCTGGAAATTACTAACGTAAGTTCAACGTGTGCAGTAGATCATTTTTTACTAGACAACTTTGCAGTGCTAATTTTTTATAGCGGCTTGACGGTATGCTTGGAGACTGGCTCGCCAGAAAGTCGCGAATCCGTCACGAGAGGAAGCAAATTCTGTAATAGTACACGATTCACATGAACCGAACGATTGGAGTAGTCTGGCGTTTCACATGAGGCACGTAACTTTGTTGTTTGAACACCCGAATTAGGGGTACAGTGCCTTGGAATAGGAGATTGTAATTTAAATTATGCCTTGAATGTATATGAAAGTGGCCATCTCTCCATGCATTTTTGGCTACATTAAACGTAAACTCTTGCGGTGAGGTAGTAAGACTGAATAAATCGTGGTTTTTAATGTCTCGGCAAAATCTTTTGTTGCCCGCAATCAGATTAGCAAGAAAGCCAGGGGCTTGTCTGGGTCTTCTGCATGACTTGTCACTCGTCCCCAAAAACCCTCACCACCCGAGCCATGCGAAATCGCTGTACATTGTGCCTGACTCAAAAGTTGAAACAGTATATTAGATTCACAACTTTTAGAATTATGGTTTTTGGGCGCTCAGACCATTACCTAGCGCACTTCCAGATCCTGATCGACAAACCAGTGCTCATCCACATTCACTTGCATCAACGCCTCGTCTGACTACAATATAAACAGGATGGTTTTTGAGTCGGGAACGGCTTTCGCAGATAGTGATGCTGATGATGAGTATGAACGCTCGGCTCGGTCTAGTCCTCACTTGGGCATTGATAGCGAAGCCTCTCCAACTGACTCTGAAGGACTATTACCGTACAACGAGCAAACTCCTACCACGTATGGCGCTCACATATCAGGGGACCGACTACCAAATACGAATATCACCGAATGGACGGTAGAAGAATGCGCCGATTTTGTCATCAGTATCGGTTTACATCAGTATGGGAGTCAATTTTTAGGTGCGAAGACTTATAAAGATCAGTGCAAAGGCGAAACTAACAATCACCTGAAATAGACAATGAGATTGTGGGTGAAGCACTTGTCGCACTACACCATGAGGATTTGAAGCAAATGGGAGTCACTAGTGTTGGACATCGACTTACAATTCTCAAGAGTGTCTACGATATCAAGGTCAAGCAAAACATAAACATTGAAACTGATCATTATGTACCTCTTTGTGAGTTGTTCCCCACGTTAGTTTATGGACTTTTCTAAGTTGAACTAGCTGCAGATACCGAAGCTCAGTATGGGACGGCGACATTGAAAGATATTAAGGAGTTAGTTGAGCAACTCAAGTTACGAGATGAGCGAATGACTATAGCTGAATCGGAATTACGGCGGATAACCCTTGAATATTCGCGCCTCCGAGAAGATCTTCTGCCCGTGTTTCGCATGGTCAAAGAGGGCAAGCCACTTCCATATCCATCCTCGTCAATCAATACAAACGGGCATAATTCTTGCAACTATGATACTTCAAGTACCATTTCACCTCCTGCGCCGACTTCATCCTTACAATCCGGAAATAGCCTTGCAAGAAATTATTCCACAAAGAAGTTTTTCATCGACCAGCCCAGAAATCTGTCCCCTACATACAACCAATTAGGACATGAAAGATCTCAGATAGATCAAGCCCTAGACCCTTCATTAGTGGCCGAGCGTACCTTGCTATCTTCCTCACACCTTTCTGCGTCAAATTATAATGGAGCTATCTCGCCCGGGCACCTCTCACCAAGCCAACCCTCACCTACCTCACCCCAGCCAATGCACGGCTCTACGTTAGGATCACGTTCCTATCGTCTAGATCAAGCAACTCCAGCCCGTACTACGTTTGGTCAAAATGAGTCTGATCAGTACGCATCAGCTCTTAACTCTCGAGATAGCTCCAAGCCAGCTCCACTTCGCCGAGTTCATACACCAGCTCTTGAAAATCCTTCAGCAGGAGGTGGATCAGTGGAAATTTTTAAGTCTTTTCGGGTCAGTATGGATGACCCATGCTATAAAGTTCTTCCTGCAGCCCTAAAAAAATACAACATCAACGCACCCTGGGAACATTATGCACTTTATATTGTGTACGGAGATAATGAACGTTGTTTGGACATGGAGGAAAAGCCTCTAATTTTATTCAAGCAGTTAGATAAAGAAGGCAAAAAACCAATGTTCATGCTTCGGAAAATTGCTCAAAACGTAGATCAGCCAGGTGATTCTGGCAGTGCAGGGCTAGACCGAATACTTCCAAGGTCTCTGGCGGGTGGATATAATGATCCACCTGGCGGTATAATATAACTGGGACTTGGTAATGGAGATGTTCCATATGATGGGTACCCTGCTCATACAACGGAAATTCCTGACTGCAGGATGCATTCTATCATTTACACACTTTTTCATATTCAAAAGATCGAGAGAAAAGCTCAGTGGGAAGGGGGGCAATATCTGCAAAATAATTGAACAGTATGGCTAGCTGTTTAGGTTTCCTCTCTATAGGAGGCCGGTTGGAGGCTTGGATTATGGCGTTGGTAGATCAGTGTTACAAACTGCATTTGGTAGATGAACACGTAATGACGCGAAATTGAGGTACAAATAATTATTACTACGTGATGTAAAAATAGGGGGATTGATTATAAAGACACTTGTACTATTTCATGTTCAGTAAAATACCGAGAGCGACTTGAATTTAGCATACAGAAATTAAATTTGAGTAGGTAAGCGTGTGACTTTACTCTCGTAAGGAATTAGGTGTAGTTAAATTATTCGCACAGCTTTCTAGCAATCACGACATTGAGTGAAGAAATCGTGTTTCCAATTGAAACCTGTCCTACCCATGCCCAACTACCCCATGGCGAAAGACAATTCGAGTAGGCGACAGACCTGGCGTGCCGAGGCAGCAGTGAGCAGAAAACACAGGTTAACCGAAAGGCTTGGTCACGGTTTCATCACAAACTGCATGGACAATATTGTGGTTACAGTATATAAGCATATGAACAATAGGCTTATCTTTAGTAACTTGCCCTGTAGTCCGCAGATTGCGGCGAGGAATTTTAGTGCGCGGCAGCTGTTGCTGAGCTACAAGGACATCATCATTGATATCACAACACAAACAGCCATTATCAATCAAAGTTTGCACCATATGTATACAATTTAGTGGTGCATTAATGAGAAATAGGTTTGTATTCATTCTAACTTGCTCGCTGGCAGCCCCTTTCTGCCTCTGCAAGCGCCTTTGCTCAGGAGCTGTTAGTTTTCCGAATTGTTTTCGTATACATCTTCCTATCCACCATGCCCCTCATATAAGCTTGGGTCTAGATTTCTAAAATATATTTGATGTTAGTTCGAGCCTTTCCCATTTGTGTTCCTTGCCGGGAGTAGCCTGCAAATCTTTGGCTCGCATTCTCTTTGCTCAAAGCGCAAGCTGCATCCCTCTTTCCGCAGCCTGTCGATCTGATCTTGAGTTTTCATTTGGCTCCCAAGGCCTTTCCACTTGGACCGCGCAGAATCCGCGAGAAAAATATCCCCCCCCCCCCGCCCCCCGACGGTATCATCTGATGAGTCTAACTCAGGTCGTGTTCTACTTTCAGGATCTTGCCTCTCTTTTCTACAATTATTCCTGCCTTGATCCATGGTCTCCAGATTTCGCCCTCCCGTGTGTCTGTTGGAGCAATTTTGGCGATGAATTTTACCCAATTAAAGGAATTATTTAGTGGGAGAAATTGATGCCTCGCAAGAGTCGTACAAAGTTTCAATTCCAGGTTCCCGCAAGCATAACGATCTTTCGTCTGGCCAAACATCACCGTTCGCTCCTACGAGCTTGTTGGGTCACGAGAGAAGGAATATGCTCCAATTTTGCTTTTCTCCCATTTTCCTGAGATTGAGTTCGTTCCAGGCTTGGACAATTCTAGAGGGATCCCGATTATTTTCATCTAAAAACTCAATGAATTCTTCTGGTTTCCCTCTGCCTACGAGTCCGCCTGTCTGAATATAGGGCGAGGACTACTTCTTTCCCCACTACTCAGAGGCCTCGTCTATTCTTAAAACTACGTAGGAATCAATGTAACCGTGCGTATGCCAATCAATTCTGATTGCCGAGGAAATCCATCTCCTCCAGGCTGCGTAGACGGCTCTATCTCTGTAGAACTTCTTAAATGTGCTTCGTGGACTGTGCCCCGATATCCATGCAGGATCCTTAACAATAACTTTGAGAAATTGGTCTGGAATATTGCGAGGGACAGAGTCATCGCCAAGCCGTTGTCTTAGCTAGCGTATCTCTACCATTAGGTTAGACTCATCCACCCACTTTACCATGGCATTAGTGTTGCTTGGTTCGGCGGATATATTATTGTAATCAACCTGTGATGGACGAAACAAATGGTCCGCGTATTCCGTCGTCTTATTACCTCGCTATGTTTCTTCGCCGTTGTATATAGTCATACGATATGAGATTAGTCGAAATATGTAGTAAGCGCGGAAAGGAAAAATTATGATTTGTCCCAGTTTTATAGTTGTGGTATCTCATGCTTTGAACATTCGATTTGTCGCTTGTTGCTTGCTCTGCGACCTGCATGGTGCAGGAATAGATTTCAATGCGCGGCGGCTGTAACTGCGTTGCAAGGGCATCATCAATGATACCAGAACACAAACTATTACTTTCTGTACAAATGCCTTTTGCCTTTCTTGTGGTCTTTGACGAACATGACCTCGGCGTCCATGGGCACTGACCCGAAACTCGGCCGGAACTGGTGGTGTGCGAGACGAGTGTGCTTGCCAAAGTCTAGTTTAGCATGCATGAGCAGAGAGGTTAGGTCGTCGAGAAGCTGCTTCAGCTGGCGACGAGGAAGATTAACCACGAAGCTGCAGTCGAGGCGAGGCTTATCTAGATGGCCAAACTGGAAGCCGTCGGCCGTGTCTCACATGACGATAGTGGACGGTTTGGTTTGTTCATTAAAATGCTAGGTAAATTGACAACCGTTGCACTCCCACTGAAGCTTAAGCACGGGTGGGGCCGGGCTGGATCAGGTTAACTACCATTAAGTACATCTACCTCGTCCCACCTCAGACTTCATCCAGGTGTTGAATCAAGTCAATCACAATCGTCCAGAGAACCCTCTTTTGACGCGCCGAAGCACAATTTCCTCCTCAGCCTCGGCCACCACGCGCCTGAGCCCTTGACACCTTTGCGATCTAATACTTTTCCCTTTCATTCATTCCCAGCTTTGGCTCGTCTCAGCATCTCCTCATCTCATCCAGGCGTCGTTCTCTTCACTCGAGGCCTCATCCAGTCGCCCACCAATGCCTCCTCGCTTTGTGTTCCCTTTTGTTCCTTCACGTAGCATCCCTCTGTCCTTCAGCCGATTTCGTCATCCCAGAAACTTTGTAGAATTGAGGTTTCTGGGCGCGCGTTGTGTACCTAGTAAATGGTGGGTGTGTGTGCGTAAGAATGAAATGTTATCACGTGGTTTCTCGTGGCTCCTAACTACAGTGGATCTTGTGTAGAGCTTGAGACTAATACGTGAATTCTGTATGTCCCTAAATGTAGGATATCTATGCGCCTATATACATCAATACTTTGTTACCCCTCAGCTGCAGTGAGATCTGCTCTTGTGACTGTGCGATCTGATCGTGTGAGACCATAAGACACTAGCATTTTGTCTATGTGCCGTACATCCAAAATCTGACTAACCCGTGACAATGTAGATCTTTTCAGGATCCACGGAATATCCATCCCTCCGGCCTTGCCTCGTCGCTGCCGTACCCCTAACCGTGGAGGTCGAAAACGTGACTGAGAGCTCAAGACTGAGGCACCAGTGCCCGAACCTTTGTCGAATGACCTAGGTGGTGTGCTGGCGAGATGTCGTACGTATTTCGTCGGTGGCGATTCGTCGCAGGTCGAGTTGTTGGTGCCCTTGGCTGAGGTGAGCACGCATCTAAGGCCGGTATTTCGACTGTACCTTCACAGTGACTAGCAGTTGCGGAGGGTCGGACATCCTCTTGCTTCTTTGTTGGCGATTTGACTTTTGGAAGTATGGGGTTGCTTCGGTAGGTGGTGAGATGATTGTGGAGAGAGCCGCGAGATGAGCTTGGCTGGGATTGGCTTTCCCGAGAATTTAAATTAAGATCTTAATAGTGTCGGTTGTTGTGATACGAACATCAGTCAGGTTATGGCCTGTGTCCGGTTCGTATCTGCAGTATGGATGGTTGAATTCGTTGAGTTGCGCAGTCGTGAAATCTCTGCAAGTTGGATTTTCGACCAAAAATGAGCCAACGCCACTCCTCCCGATCGCCAACTCGACGAAAACTCTCAAATTCACCCTTTGTCGTGACTGAATCTCGGCTCCGGGGGAATATTTCATCCCCAGGTTTGTAGAGGACACCACTGATAGGTTTTCAGCCTTCGTGCTCCGATAATAGACGGTATAAAATGGTAAAACAAAAATTTACGTAAAGTAAAGCGCATGATTGAGGAAAGGTTCCTCATCATTTAATCTTACGTCAGGAAGGATTTTCGGGCGAGGAGTACATGTTAGCCGTGAAACGAATTGAGTATATTTTTATTTATTTACAATATTTGACGTCGTGCCCGCGCACAGCTCATGAGCTCCTCAAGTACCGGTTAGCCCAGTCTAAGTAAAACTACCCGACGTGTTGGTGCCTGCAAAGACCCAACATAGCAAATGAAAACCAGAACCTTATTATCCTGCACTCGAAGTTTAAATGTACACGAATATTGGCCTCCCGTTGTCTCTCATGATTTAGAGATGTTATTCAATGGAGAATACAAAGCAAAGAAATAAAATTTGTAAAGAGGGAAATTGGTTATATCACTTTAAAGCTCTCTAGCTTTTATTACATGACCAGCTATTAAATGCATGAACTCCCTCCGCTGAAGCAAGAGTCCAAGATATGGTGGGATTGAAGATATGAGCCCTGTAGAGCTGTACTTAGTGCTGCCCGATGTGACAATAGAAAAAGTGGTCAGTGGACTTCTCTTCTCCGCATATGCAGGTTAGAATGGCGTTTTCATGCTGAAACCGTCGGTGATAGTCCGCGAAGTCGCCATGACCGGACCGTGAAGCTAGTAGATATCCTAGTGTGCGTCGCCCTATACGAGCGAGCTCAATGGTGATCTTAGTATTAGGACCAATACCTAATTCTTTGTATCTAGACGGTGTGTTTTCGGCCCAGTAGAGTGCAACGGAAGCCTCGTATTGGGATTTGACTTCCCTTCTTGCCCTCGATGTAGAAAGCGCCAAGTGTGGAGCTGGAGCCGCACAGATGGCTCTGGCAAGAGCGTC